AAATCTCACTCTTAGAAATTGACGATTGAGTCGCTTTTTTTTAACACTGGCTAGATTGTCACTTTTTAAAATTAGATTTCACTCCAAAGATTTTAAAGAATGGGATAATATTCTTCGACTTTTCCTTCTCTTGAGGAAATCGGTGTGGCTCCTTTGCCATCTCCCCTTCGCTTTTTCTGTGAAAACACCGAAGAATCGCACTAGGAGAGGCTGAAAGGTAATAACGGCGTCACCGGAGGAGGCAAGGAGACCCCTCCACACCACCCCCACTCGAGCAGAGGAGAGAGGCTATTTTACCGCTAGTCCAAGGCAAGATAGGATGACCTACTTCAGCAGGCTCCTCCTAAGTAGAGGGGCATCCACTGCGGTGTTGATTTCTAATCGGAAAAGTTACGCCGGCCAACCGGCCAATCCGCGTTTATCCCGACCTAGCCGTGCTTGTTTCGCATCGGTTGCGTTGTAAAAAAACAGGGAATACCCGACCAATCGGCGGACGATCCGCGGCTGCAACCCGCGGCATTTGCATACGACGAAACGAACGACCGCCCGTGAGATTACCGTGACGTTACCGTTGATGCATGCACGACGACGACGAGGATAGTGCCATTGTTTTTGAAGCGAGGTGGCAGGCAGATATATTGATCCCCTCTGGATGATAGCTAGAAATAAATACGTGCAATTTACCTATACATGTCACAAGATAATCGTGAATTCGTGATTGAATGCATGGAGTTTTATTATGATCTACGAGTTTTATTATGATAAAGTTCTCTTAGATTGACACTGGAAACTAATGACATGGTTTGGCTAAAGTACCTAAAGACTTAGCTGGAAAGAACTGAAAATTTTTTTGTTGGACCGTCGAAAATAATTACATAGGACGTTTAAACTGATTGTTGGGATGTCAGAACTTTTTGCATCTCTTAAGAGAAGATGATCCACGTAATTATTTTGACATTATTTTCAGATTTTTATTTAGCCAAGTTTTTAACTAATAATAATAGTAATAACTTTAATAATAAATACTTTAGCAAAATTGCGCGCGTTTCTTCCGTGTAGGATCAACACTTTCGTTTGTAACTCGAGCAATTAACGAGATAACCGAATATCCGCAATTCATCGTATTGATTTCACTTCATTCAGCTTGATGAAAGCTGTAGGAATGCATTTCTCGAAATACCTGCTTATTAAAAAAAAAAAAAAACGCTTTTTTTAGATTCCTCTTTATATGTCGCTCTTTATAATATAAAATTATGTCGTGAAGCATCGATATTAAAATGTTTTATTAATAAGTACTTAGCGATATTATATATAATTCTTATTTTTCGAAGGTAAATAGCGAGCTTTTCATTGATACTTGTCATCCTCACAGATTTGCTGACGCGCATCGTCAGGAAGCGATATGGTTAATCTCGTTTTCGTGCTGGCACATCGCCTTCGATCCGGCGCGGGGAGCGTGTACGACGTCCGCCGAAGTAACAATTAAGAGATCGCGGCCCGCCGCGAAGCGATCCTTTAGACAGGCTCGTGGGAAACAGTGCACCCGACGCCAAGAGCGTAGAACGGCTCCGGCTTCGGCACTGCACAGCTAACCGTTGTACATCGTTAAAGACGCGTCATTAAGGTTAAACGCTCGTGGAGGCTGCTCCATAGGCTGGCGTCTACGCGAGAACGTAGACGCCAGCCGGAGCGGAGGATCCCGTATCCTAGGAGTGAATAACGAATTTACGTTGGATGGGAGCTACGAGAGAGAGAGATTCGCATCTCCGTCGCGAATATTACCGGTCGGCAGACCGGTACCGTTCCGGCTTTGACCTTTGCTTTTCTGACGCGGGTCATCATTTTCTCGCTATTGGGTTAACTGTCCGTTTTTAAAGCAAGATGTCCATCTCTAAAGTGTATGCTTATATGAATAACGCCTAACGAATTGTCGCATTAATGGTCAGAAAAGATTTCGTGTGTAATTCTTTCCGTTGATTAAATCAGAATAATCTTCTGATGAAGTTTTAATTTTGCCATATTGCAATCTCCTCTATTTGCAAAAAATATACCTTGGTTGACTTTATCCAGCTTTCTTCATAATTTCCTCTGAAGCTAAGCCCGTTACTCTCGAAATGATACGTTAATCTTCTCCTTGAGTGTATACTTGAATAGCAAATGGAAAGGAGCGTCTTTTTACTGTCACATAAATCTCAATTTTTTTAGAGCCCGCGGGCCGTAGGTTGTCACAACCTTTATAATATTTACATCGTTACCTGCTTGTAACATTAAATCCCGATCGAGAGACGCGATATTCAGTAACAACCTGTGTGACAGATTCACGAAGAGGAAAGAAAAAGCACACGCGTGTGGAAACAGCTTATTCATAATGTTACTTGGACGCAAATCATCGTTTTAACGAGCCTACTGACGTAAAACGAGAGGGTATATTCTTGAAATATTCTAGAAATATTTCTGGAAATATATTTTTATTCTTAATGTAATATTCTGAAGAACAATATTCTTTGACAGATACTGTCATTTTTTAAGAATTGAAATTGTACGCGCAAATCTCGACTTAATCTTGCAAATGAGTATAATTCCGTTGAATTAAATTTGTAATTTAACAGTAACATAAGAGAGAGAATGTAATAAAAATTCGCATTTCTTAATATCAAAATATTATTATTATATATGATGTGATGTAATATTATATATGATGTGATGTTTTAGGTAAAGTATTATTTAAAGACTGAAAATTACGAATTAGATTAAAATATCTTAAATTTATCTATCTGGAAAGAGAAATAATGATAAAGATAAAAATTAGATCAGATATGGATTTGAAAATAATTTTGTTAAATTATCAAAATAATTACGTAGGTCCTTTAAATTGATTAAGTTTGTCAGAATATCAAAAATTCTTACAGTGTTATCATTATATTCAAATGTTTTATGTATTATTTCGATAGTTGAGCAAAATTATTTTCATATCTGTATCTGGTTTTAAATTTTTAGACTTCAAGATTCTTTCCATGTCTATATATGTTGGGCGTTGTTTTGATTCGTGAGATCTATTTCTAATATGAAGTATAGAACAAAATATCTTTTTAATTTATTCCATTTGAATCTATCGCCACTCGTTTTGAAATAATAAGGAACAAAAATAAGTTTCAAATAAATAATCTGTGTTCAATTTATAATTTCAGATCGGCAGACAAATTGATTAATTAATTGATTATTCAGAGCAAATTAATTAGTTCAATAACGAGCTCAATGCGCTGATATATTTGTCAAATTCGATCAATGTCTGATTACACAAAGCGAATCGGGACAGATTGACGTTTTTGCTGATCGTACAGTACTCGGTGAGTGCCGATAATAATTTTACCGGTGCTGTTGTGCAAATCGGAGGATCACTCGCCGAACTGTCCGATCCGTTCTCAGCGGCATCGATCTTCCCCCGCCTCCGGCCGTCCCTTCCCCCGTTCTGGAATATCTCGATCGAGGCGTTTCGGAAGGATAAATAGACGGGGTATCTTCATGACGGGAAATGTCGAGGCCCTCTCGGGCTGGGAATGAGTTTGCCGGTTTCCTCCCACAAGCTTCGGCCAGCGGTTCGCTCCCTCCCTTTCCGTCCCTTCGATCGGCCTGCTGTCAGGGCGCTCGCGACCATTGTTTTACCTACGGCGGATCCTGTTGTTGCCGCAAATCCGCTGCCTTCCAGCGTCACGAACTCGGCCGCGGGAGTAGATGCCCACCGCCGACACGACGCGAGAAGCTACTCGCCCGGCATTTCAATTCGCACGGCCAATGCACGTCTTCAATGCTTTATTTCTGGATGCTCGCGAAGGTGTTGCGCTCGAAGGCGCACGACGGCTTTTTGAGGCATGTTTCTTCAATGATGTTTTAGGCGTAGTGTTTCATTTATCAAAAACTACGAAGATTTAAATATCTTTTATAATAATGCGCGACCTGCGACCCGCCGGCTAATAGCTAAAAATATAAAATCATATTTTTTTATTTTATACAAGCGAAATAAACATGCGACTCGCAAGATTTTATTCATTTCTGCGGATAGCCCTCTGAAAATTATTTCATAACAAAATTGGTTGCGCATCATTAGAAGACTTATTATTTTAGAAGATTTATTATTTTATTTTACACGCGTTTTTTAGACGTTGTTTTAACCCGTAATATATTTATCAATGTATTATAGATATTTTATCACATCGCTCTCTTACTTCAAAATAGACAAAAACGTTATTGATTGAATGCTTGAAGCCTCTTCGGTCTTTATGTAGGTTCGCAAATGTCAGCACTGTGCTTCGATTGTACTCTAGAAGAATCTCAGGCATTAAGATTGCTCAACAACGGTACTTTGTCGAAAAATTTACAGGCTATCTCAAATTGCCTGTTGTATGACACGCGAATTGTTATTGTCTCTCGGAAATAGGATCGCGTCACGCGTTTGTGAACTCCTTTGAAGATACTCTTACCGAAATTATCCCAAGTCATCGTCAGGGCGTCGCGCAAAACTCGCCTCGTCACTTTCGCTGTACATTAACGTACGGCAATATGATAAAATCTACGGCTGTGTCGCAAATTCATCCGTCCATTGTGCCGTTAGCTCTAATTTTTTTGCTGGATAGTCCGCGATAATTGTATAAGGACGCTCAAATTGATTATTAAATTATCCAAATTTATTGCAGCATTACTTATGCTTGAAATGCTACGTAATTATTTTGATTGGACCATCAAGGTTTATTTTTAAATCTGTATCTAGTTCAATTTTTGAACACTTTAGCAAAATCATTCTTTCCATGTATATATATTTCATTTTGTCTTGACTTTTTGACGACGTTTGGAGTTTTTAAGGCACCATTCGATATTTTTAGATATTTATTATTAGATCAATTTAAATCTGTATGTAAAAAAGAAAATATAATCCGATTTCTATGATGATATAAAAACTTGTGTAAGTATATCAGAATTTTTTCAAATTTTTATATATTCCGGGACAGTAAACAATTTGCTGTATCTCGAAGATCCATGTTGAAAGAATTAAAAATTCACGTTGCTGACGGAGGATTAAGGCGTTTGGTCCATTACATTCAGGACATTTCAGGATGGTGTGTCGAATCTCTTACTTGAAGATCTCAACGTTACCCTACGTAACATGGATGATTACTAAATGGCCAAGAAGTATGTGAAGAGAAAGAGATTAACGAGCAATCGCTGTCACTAACCGAGCTACGATAGTGTTCTGGCATTTGTTGTAAGCGAGGCGTCTTAATGAGACTAGCGTGGAGTGAAACGTTTGACAAGACTCACCGACGATTGCAGGACGAACGGCGCGATGATAAGCGGTCCAGATAAAGTCGCCGTGCTGTACGGAGAGCCGGCCGGAGGCGAGGCGCGAGTCTGCACGACGGGCGTGCAAAAGCCGGGTATCATCGTGAATAGGGAGCAATCAGATATCATTAGCGTTTTTATATAAGGCCGCGGTGTGCCTCACCGGTGGTTCCGCAAGGCCGCCAGCAACGGTTCCCACGCTCGCAGGTGAAGCGATTTCAACGATGGGGGATCGCCGCCGCCTAATCGCTGGATACATTTAATTCCTCTCGTTAGGGCATTAACGAGCGAGAGGTGAAAGATGATTTTCGCCAATGAATTATTGCTTCCCATCGCCGCCGTTCGTTTTACATTGCGTGTTACGTTCGAGGCACGATTGGCGTTGTCGACCAGTTCTTATTTCGTTCGTATTATTTCATCGACGCGCGTACTGTGTTTTGTAAGATAGCAACTGAAAAAATGCTACGGAAAGGATATATAGAAAGGACCAAATTGAGACTATTTTGCGTCTTAATTTAAGAGTGTAATTTCTCGAAACTTTGATTTTAATAATTTGAACGTCAATGTTTCCAATGCATTTTGTAAAATGCATTGATACTCCACGGAAAAAAACGATTTTGTTGAAGTATTTAAAAATTTAGGTAGATCCAACTTTGAAAATATATAATTTTGTTAGATCATTAAAATAATTACGTAGGAAATTCAGGCACGATAAGCAGTGTTGGAAAAATTTCGATATTCCAGCAACCATTTTGAGCGTACATCCTACATTATTTTGATAGATCAACGAAATTAATTTCAGATCTGTAAATTTTTAGATACTTCAGTAAAATCATTTTTTTTTCTGTTACTAAAATTGTAAAACGTATGGCTTCTCACGTAAGAAAAATATTTAATGGTAGAGAACATAATTTGAATACTCATTTATTATTATTGCAAATTGTTTATTTCAGACACATGATTGTATTATTTTCATCTTCGTTTTATTCTGTATTTTGTGCAGACTTTAGCTTGTGACAGGAGCATCACGTCGCAGCATCTTTTGTAAAATTATGACGGTTTTTTATAGTCTTCCCTACTGGAATCAATTTGCATTTTTATCGTGTATTTTATGTGTAAGCATAAATAGTTGTCACTTTTTTATTCTCAAAATCCTGATCGTTTCAGCAGCACGTCTCTTACTCTATACGCAAATTGCATTTTTATCTAACGACCGACGTGGTGAGAATTGTCGTGGCGCGCGACATTACGGTGGGAGAGACATGAAATATCGACGAAAGCACATAATTACATATTTATAGCTGTTGAGAGGTGTAAAAGCAATTCGCGCGCGCGACTATTATCTCGTTTTAACAGGTATTTTCTCGTTTTAACAGATATTTTCAGAAATATTGTTGAATGACGGCGTCGCTAACCGACGATAGTGAGCGCGGTTATGGAGATTGGCATCTGACGCGATTATCTTGCTTGAAATTGTCCTGTCGTCTCAAACACTCGACGCGCTGCCGCACGTATCTTCAGTGTCGCCAATTGTCGTTTAGCCGGTTTAATGTTTCGTGAAAGCTCGTTTGACGTAAAAAGAAATGCATTGGACACTTTGTCACAGTGACACGCAGTCGCTGAGATGCGACAGCTTCGTGACAGATTTCGTTCATATCCTTCATTAGCATTAATTTCTAATTAATTGTAGATCTGTACAAAAGTAAGATGAAAAAATTGTTTGGAAATAATATTATTTTTTCACAATTTTTATTTCTAAGATAGAAATTAACTTAGAAATTTGTATATTTATAAAATAAAAATAAATAAAAGAGAAAAATCAAATATTTTAAATCGCCTTTCTAAAGTTTTTATCTTCAAAATGAAAACAGACTTTAAAGAAAAATAAAATATTTTAAATTATTTTAATGGAATATATATCTTTTTTGTTTCTCTCTCTCTCTCTCTCTCTCTCTCTCTCTCTCTCTCTCTCTCTCTCTCTCTCTCTTTATTTCTATTTCTGTATAACTGCCGATATTTATTAACTATCAGATGAATATTTAATAAAGATTACAATTAAAAGATTAAAGATGGACAGTAATTTCAATAAGCTAAAGTTAATTAACTCGGATCATGTAGTTGGCGTACACACAATCTCGGCTTTCTAAATAGTTCAGGATAAAACGCGATCATAAAAGTAAAACAGCTGTATGGCATTTTATTTCATTAGGAGTCATTGAATCTAATTGTCGATTAACGTGTTGAGTTAGTTTATTCTAAAGATTCGAGACAAGATAATATCGAATATATTCTGCACTACGAGAAAAGAATCCATGTTAGGATTTTATGATGTATCATCGATTTTACTGTCGCTCCGTTTTAAAGTCGATAAATGCATCGGCTTTCAAACTAACCACGGATACTAATAAACTTGGAAGATATTATACCATTATATCGTTCCGCTCGTATTCTTATTGCGATCTAAATGTATTATCGTGTTACAACGTGCCGGTTCGCGACTAGTTAACCGATACGCGCTCGCCGTTATTTGCCCATTAGACTTGATGTTATCGATCGGAATCGTCTGAAACTAGATCCCCACGACTCGGGAATCATTTACCTACAGCAATGAAAACCTAATTATGCGATCACCACCACGATCTCTCTCCCACTCTCATTTCTTCGTGTCTTACTTGACATTGTTGGAACGTCTTTTACATAAAGTAGATTGCTTTTAGAATTTATATTGAATATTGTTACCATACTGTACTGATAGATACTTCTGAAAAGTGTCTCATATTTTCCCATAATTGAAAAGGAATTAAATGTAATATAAATTATAAGGACCTTCGTATATAAAATAAAATAATACTAATAATAATATCGTAATTAAACAAGTAAGTACGGCTATGAGAATCAAAATGCAATTAACAGTACACTGATTATTCGAATTAAGTGTTAAACTTGATAAATATACTAATTTTTTCTCTTACGGTACTTGAACTCGATTTTAATTTCAACTACTTCTTATCTAATCTTAAAGTTTTCATTCATTCTGTTATCGAAGTATTATCTCTTACATTATTTTCTCCCACAAAGGATTACACTAAACACAATAAATTTCTCTTTTTTTTTCTTTTCTTCTCTTGATCGAACATATATGAATGCGATTGTATTTCATACCTTGGCCAATGTTTCCAAACGAAATCTCGGTATACAGATGGTATTCGCGTAGCACGATTATAACGAGGTTCAAATGAGACTCCAATGTTTTATTCCGGTCGTTGGGTATCGCTTTTAACGTTGCATGCTCCTACAACGGCTCTTATTCACTTCGACGCATTTGTTGGAGTGCGACGCGAATAAATCTAGCCAGTTTTGACAGAGCGGAAAAAGGATGAAGAGAGAAAGAAGATTAGGTGGTAACCATGGCAACGCTAGGCTTGTTTATTTCACGCGCATGCGCACTCCATTTTGCGCCAACACTAAGATCAAAGATGCCGACAGGGAGTCGCGCTACTGTATGTACTGTGGCATTACCGCGAGTCTTTCTCTAATTCCTCTTTGATTGATGGCGATTGCTAGATTTTTGTCCTGCCTGGGTGATTGCTGTAGGTAGACAGGCAGTGGCTTCAGGTATCTTACCTATGAGCACGTATCTGGAATATGTCGCGCGCAACGACGCGAGTGAGCCCGGGCGCGACCGTTACAACAAGAAAGAGAAGAGATGAGCAGGAAGATATTCGATAATAGCCACCGATTGCGTAAAACATCCTCTCTGCGTGGCTCGTGGACGGGGTCCACGCGATTGAGTCGTTGATGTGGAAACGCGCAATGGGCAAGCAGAGAAAAAGGAGTAAACGTGAAGGTGAGGGGAGAAGACAGGCGAGCAGACGGGACGCGTAACCGGCGTTTAATTTCACGCACGAGCCGCGATGTGTCATTACGACGATGGTGTACGTGATTCCGATGCATCAATTTCTTCGAGAGTTGGTATGTCGTCTGTGTTTCTGTAAGAAATATGGATTTTATCACTTTAACTATTTAGGATACATTACATATCACGAACACGATATTCTTTAAGATGCTTATATTATGCGATATGTGAAAGTCTTCCTTAAAATCACTAATATATCATCGTTAGATCTTTTTTCACTTTCTGGATGAGTTTTGTGAAACATATTGAATTTTCGAATTTTTGCGTTGCTATTTTCTATAATGAATAAGAACGAACAATCTTAATTTGGTGGAGATAATTGTAGAGGATAATAGAGAAATAGATATATTAAATAAAAACATAATTTTATGGCTTCAAGAATAAATCAAATATAAATGCCTATATAATATATAATGCGTAAATAATATATATTTATCAGATCTAATTCGCAAACAATTGGAATGTACACACTAACGAAGTTAACTATGTTTCGATTCTGAATTGGAGTTCTCCTCATTACGGAAGTCAAGTACAGTTAAGTCAATTCGTACTTCCGCATTGAGGCAGATTCAAATTCAGAGTTGAAACGTTTGCAGTTATTTTTGTTAATAGGCACATTTCAGTTGTTTGCGAATTATAATACATCTTATCGCCATATAAATATATTATTTGTGCACCAATAATCGCGAAGGCTCATGTAAGCAATTTACTTACATTTGAAATAGATGTATATTATAATATTATTGAAATAGATACGTAAAGAGATATAAGTATTATTTTACAATAAAATTGTTTTTTAATTAATTTTTTTTTATGTAGAACATTATATTCATTTATGGGGATGCTTTTTATACTTATAATCAAGGCTGTAATGTAGACAAAATTTCAATCATTGGCGCATTTCAGCCAAGTATAGATGAGGTCTTCTACTGATATGACTACTTGTTTTTACTATTTAAAGATGATTAAACTACGCTTCTAATTCTATTTGAAGTTACGATTGAGTCTTGAAATTTAACCTAATGAAATTTAATCTAATACGTCAGATACATCAGATTGACTATGATGATTCGTCTGCGCCCGCAAAAATCTAACGAGATCACTGACAGCTCTTCAATAGTTCGCTTCGCTGACCTCGCGCTCGTAATTTCATCCGCTCCATCCGCTCTATTCGTATCCGCGTCGGAAAATAAAAGCGATAACCACCGCGATCGCCGCGACGATGCATGTTGGCCCCTGCGCTCCTTATTTCGCCCGCTCGTGCGCGTAGTCTCTCTTAATTGCGCTGATATACGATTCGCCTGTAAACTTCAGGTCTATTTCATCCGACGCCGTTAACGTTACGCAATTGTGATGCGAGACGAGACGAGACGAGATGAGACGATACGATGCGTGATGCGATGCGCGATCGTAAATTACCTCTTATCCTTCTTCGCGCATGCAGAACCTTTAGCTCTTCTTCGATGTACGGAGAGTATTGGCGGAAAGAAAGTTAAAATTTCACGCTATCACCGATATGATGTTGGAATCGCGTGTCTTGGAATTTAATCGGTCATTTGGCGCCTTTAACGATCGATCGATCAATCGATTAATGATCGATTTTATTAGACGAGATTAACTGTTATTGTTGTTTTCGTCTCGAGATTTCCGAGCGTATTTGTCAGGACGACAATCGCGAATTTTATTGAGGGAACCCCGAGAAGATAAATTTTTATTTTATAATCATAAGAATACAATATTGCCTATTCTGTAACGTTTAACGACAATATCGATGTCGTTACAGTATCGTTGCGTATTTTATATGGTAAAAAACCTGCGCAACAACACATAACGATATCGACAGTGTCGTCATGAAATTAGAGAATAGCACTGCAGGTGTAACATTGCACATAATGATAATTGAATATAATTTGGGGCATTTCTGATTAATGGCAAATTTCTAATAGCGGATTTATACTGGCTTATAAAATTTGTGGCCAATTTCTGATTGGTCACAAATTTTATAATTCATTATCATCACTGTCATTACTTTGAACAACTGCGCATTTATGGGAATAATATATCATGATTTGAAGTTATAGCTGAGTCTTAG